GAGAAAGAACAATATATTTAATATGAATAAAAGATATAAGGTAACATTCAGTGGGAATCACGCCTGTATGGCCGAGCCATGCCATTCGATCAGCTTCAATTCATTCAATTCCTTGTTCCCGCCTTTTCCATCGTTAGGCATTCATCTGCGTTAATTATTGAATATCTATTTTCCGAGTTGTCTTGTGTTCGGCTTTGAGGATTGTGTGGTTATGGTCCAATGCCACCACAACTCTACACTGTCTATTTCAATCGTCGATAAAGATAAATCATCATTATAAATACTCGACTTATTAGAATCAGAATTACAAGACTTAATATTAGTTGCAATGAGATGGACATTAGTATTACAGACTGACTGAATATGTCCAATACCACCACATTTAAAGCACTTAGAATTACGGGATTTACATGAATTAAAAGAGTGGAACCTTTCACAGAACAAACATTGACAAAACTTGTGCCCATCTGCACAAACTGCATCGCAACTCCTCAATGAGTTATCTGCATAACTTTGAGTATGGACCGGGTTGGTGTGACGTAATGTAGTGGAATGTTTTATATCCTCATGAATCATTTAAAGAGATCTTTCTGCATTACCGCATTCGAAATTTGTATGCTGAACATAGTCTAGCAGTAGTTCCTTGAGAGCTGTATAGGGAAGCGAAATGAGTTTTTCCGGCATAGCCAGAGTTTTTAATAAGATATATGCTTCTTTTTCGATGAATGTGAGGAAATGTGCTACAATATTAACACCCTCATCATGTTCCTTCGTCATAGCCCAGATTTCAAACCTTCCAAAGTAACCCTCAATAGCTTCATAAGTTGAATGAATATCTAACTTTTCCATCGCAGGCTCCATCGCGACGCTAATATAATGTTTCGAACTATTTGAATGATAGTATGAACTAGGAATTCCAGAAATAACGTAATCGGATCAAGGAGTACTAGATAGGCACAAACGGATGTACTGTATTTTGAATTCGAAATCAGGCATTCAACAAGAACAAAGAAATCATCAGTTCATTCAAACACCACAGTTCATTAAATTGAGGTTCTGGATTCCTACTATTCTACCACAATACTCTTCCTTTGACCACCAATCTTATCCTCTCGCTCTCATACAGTTGTAGCGATCAAAATCCATAGATTCCTTCTGAATGCAGAAAACGATTCAAGAAAACCAAGACTAATTTGGCTAAGCCAAGCACCATATTCTTCTCTATACATCAAGAATCTTCTTTGGACTACTCACAAAGATCATACCAAAACACACATTTCGTAAATAATATTTGCGTAACTATGCAATAATTGGTTGGTCATCTCGACCCCCCCCAAAGAGAGATGAACTTGGACATTGTTCATTGCAGGCCGACCATAAGAAAGCTTCGTACGGTTGTCTTGGTCATGTACTGTTTGCTTTGAGCTGCAACATTTCGATAGCCGCCTAGATATCTGTCGGAACGTTGTTGACACATTGGGAGTTTTATAAGGGGTGCGGAAGACAGCAGCTATAGGTATTTGATTAGATATTAGTCACAAAATATTCTATATAACGAGGAATAGCTGCCATTCGTATATGGTGTCCTTCGTGAGAAGTGCTGTTTACCCTAGAATAGCACTCATGATAGTTCAATAAAAGTAGTAAAAATGACTTCTAAGGTTTTCTTGAATCTGTTTACAATCTATACATGTTCACACCTTCAAGCTTAGTGTATGATTGCATTTTATTTCCCTGAAAAGATAGGAGTTTTGTGAAACTTGCAGAGATGGATAAAAGGTTGTGTTAAACAATTCAGGAGCTGATCTCAATTATTATATTTCTACGACAATGAGGTTTCTTATCTAACAATACAGTCCTGACAGTGTTACCAATTTTCGTAGCAGTGCCGTCGTATTTGTTATGTCAAATCAGAAACTTTGTTTATCAAGGGATGCGCGTATTTGGGATTTGTTATAAAGCGCACATTTAGGTTTAGTAGTGGAAGTGGGAGGTGGCAAATGTCTTTCGAATTGTTGTGATGATGAAACCCTTATAAGTACAGGAACCATCTGACGAGCTTTAGTTCAGGGCTTTTCATTTGCTTGCCGGTCTTGATAATTAAAGTTGTTTCTCTCATCTAATTTGGGAACTATATGTTGTCCCAGTATCGCTGAACAGAAATAAAAATAAGGGAAAAGGGGGTTCTCAAACTAAAGATGTATATGGGGGTTCAATTGATGTATTGAGTCTTGAAGGAATATGCATTCCATGAAATGTTCCTAGTAATCTAACGTATTAAGTAGATATTCTTGCACTACTTTCAGTGCTATTTCAAAAGGATAAAAAACTGTTGTTCACAATCGAGTAAAACTTTCAGTTTTTCGTCCGTAACGTATAAGGACTATCTTTTCACTTCAAATGAGTCAATTACAGTCAAATTACAGGCAGTAATGACGCATTTGCTAGCCTTTGTATCTGTATTGTTTGCACTCGCTTTGACAGTTTCTTCTCTGCGTAATGGTTATAAGCTGAAAAGCCACGGTTTCTGGTTCAAAAAGGCTCGTCTCTCGCTGGCCTTTTGAAAAGACGAGGTGCTGAACAATACGAGGCTGAAATTAGAAGCTGGAGAAAAATGATTCTCAAATTTGTGAATTTTGAGTGATAACGCTTCAAAATCACTTTTAGAGCAGCACAGTGCCATTAAATTAGTCTTTGGGTCTGCTTGACAAGCGATCGTAGGTAAGTGTACAAATGGACCCTTTCATGCTGGATGTATTCGCCGTGACAGGAACGTTGCTGATCTAATCTGTATACGATAAGTAACTTAATTCTGAAAACTTCATGTAACTAAAAGTTGGCCAAACCCGCAAGTGTAAAGCATGATCGACCTTATTTGTTGGATACTGTTTCCTTTACTGTTATTTATACCATATCTCATGAGAGTGAAATGTACGACTTAGTTGTCGCTTGAAATGCAGGGAACAAGAGCTGCTGCATAGTTTCGTTTATTGTAGCCCCAGATATGAGGTAATTGATACATTGCCAATCACTCAACACTTGATTTATTATCAGTCGATGTTTGATCTTAGGGGACTCGTGCACCTGCCGTAGATTTACGCAATTCATGTCCTATTCATCGAGCATCTTTCCCTAATTTTCTCTTCAGCTGGAAGGTGGTTTTTTGACAAACTAGGTTGTTGCTGATGCTAGAACCCTCTAGTCAGTACGTATAACCTATAGAAACACGGATTTTGGAAATTTTCCAACTAAGTTCGTTTGACCAACACATGAGTATTTCATACTGACAGACAGCCCCTGTTTAAAAACAGGCAATGAGCTGTCGGAAAAGGTCCAGAGAACCCCAACTGAGTTGATCTTCACAATCGCAAGGTTAGATGTAGGCATAGAATGTGTAAGGCAATATAACTCCCGGGATGGAGTTCCATAATAGCCAGTAGCCAGAGCAGGTCCGCATATTATTCGTGTCCTCGATATCCAAGGCCCTACTTACACCATTGCTTTGGAATTAGGGTTCCCCAACTTCCTTAGACGGATCTTCCGTTTCTGTTAATCCGGCTCATGCTTCTGACGTCCACTTTCACCTCATTTTTACAGAAACCCATGTCACATAAAAGCAGGAAATGAAACGTCCCTAGAAAAGGTTACATACTCGCAGACATGATAACTTCTGGTTAAGGAGAACAGGATCGACCCTACTATAGGATTTGAAGACAGTCGTAGGTTCATTCTGACTGTACATCGTCAGTTGTACAACACATCGATGAGTGCAGTTCTATTTCGTACTTGGGAGGTCTGACTCTTCTAAATTGAAGGTTCTTGGTAGCCATCTCCGAGGGTTTCCCAATACCGGTTGGAACAAATGTTTATAGCACTAAAGTCAATTAGCTTATTAGGTGGCTTGGTTATGATTTACAAATTCCATTTCAATGGCTTTCACATCGCTCATTATTTCCCGACACGGACAGTAGGAAAAGCCAAAAGATGGCTGTTTTATGGAGTGAATCCGTGAAACACGATAGGTGTATAAAACTGGTGTCTGTCATGCATCATGGCGTCATTATTCAAGTCCTAAAAATCATGCTACTCAGCGGCTCGAGAAATTATCAGATACGGCTCGAAATAGAAGCTCATTCTGATTCTATTGTTTCCTACGATCGAAGTTTCCACCGTTTGTATTTTTAGATAAATAGTATCTTGTACTGACAACTATACTAATTTATTAAATGTACGACTTTTCCTTTTTCATAATTTAATCAATTTTTTTAGTATTCTTACCGAAATTTGTCTTACAAATGAATAAGAGTCTCGATAATGTTAGATATTAAGGATATATCCACCAGACTGTTGCATCAAAGCGCCTATGTCCCATAGTGAATAAGTCAATGGAATAATAATCTCTATTTTGTAAATTAGTCGGTTTTTATTCAGGGTTCTTAGAGTTCACATACATTTCAATTTAATGCGACATTTGATTACACCTGAAGTTGAATAAATACCTGCCTGCTCATTGATAATTCATTTGTTATCGTTGCAGCACTTTTTTGCTTAAATACTATTATCAATGATTATATAATTTCCCAATATCGTGGCCAAAAAATGGTGTTAAACGAGGTAAATAAGCCATTCACCATAGCTTTCACGTACGTTAACAGAGGTGGTTGGCTTATGTTATGCTCACTATTCGCGCAGAATAGTTTACTGTAGATTGGAAAAAAATCTAATCAATCCTGAGTTTAGACTAATCAGTTTCATTCATCAATGTGATCATTGGGCTTTGTACTCGTATGTAATAAAATAAAGTTTTCTTGACTTGTAAGTCTTCTTTTTGCCCACTGACTTTTAGTATATTTTTTCATGTTTTTGAGAAGTGTAGTGTGTAAAATTAATATGCACACAAAATAATCTTCATCTTTCATTCGGTTGAGATAGGTTTTTAATTGATTGCTAACTGTCATTATATAATGTCTTAAAAATAAGTTTCCGGATCCTTATTTTTAGGTTGCTGATTGTGTGGTATCAGTTAGCTCACAGAAGTGTCATTCCTTGTGTATATATGTTTGGTCTCAACGTATTACGTGTAACCTTCAAAGATAATCTTTTCCTACATAACAATTCGGTGACAATTTAAAGCCAATCAGAAATACTGGATTTTAACTATTTAATAGTCTATCTTTCAGTGAGTTTTACGCCTGTATATGTTACATTTAATGTTGCGTCATAAATTTACGTTAAATTAAAATGTCTTCTGTTTGTTTTATAGGTAAATGGAAAATCCTGGAGCCGGTACTCCAGTAAAAATATGCCCATATGGTGAAGAATTCGGAATAACCACTCCATCTGGGGGTTTGATTTTTAATCCATTCCATAAAGAATTTCTCAGTCGTGTTGAACAAGTGAACTTCAGCCCAGGAATATTTGCCTACAATCCCAGTCCGATTAGCAAAAGTGGTTCAAGGAAAACAACTCCCAACAGAATCAAGACACCTTTTATCTTATCTCCTGACATTCAGGGAGAATTGTTCCCTGCTGATATAGACGAAAATCCAATACTACAATTGAAACTTCAAGAGAAACTGGATACTCAGGTATGTTAGGTTATTAAAGGTATAAGTTTACTTAGTAGTATTCACTTGTTTATTATTTTGCAAGGACTTTAACCATGTATCATATATCTAAAATAACTGGCCGATTGTTTCTTAGCATCATGAATTATCACGTCAGTAAGTTGTCATAAAAGTTTTACTCTTTGACTGTGTTTCACTAAAAACGGTGGACCTAGCATCGAAGCTTTATTTGGCAGTCCTGCATGGGATTAAGAAAAAAGCGAAGTAGTGGCTCAGTTTCTAGGCTGCCTAAATTTCAACCATTTATTCTCAGATTCTAATCTCAACTACTTACTTGCGCCTGGACAACCTAGTAGTCACACTAGCCCTCACACTTAAGGTGTGATTCGAAGCCGAGTACACGAATTTGTACCTGATGAGTGACTTAAAACAACTTTAGTAGTGTTATAAGGGGAAAATAATGGTAGAAGTAAGAATTCCAGGAGTACTGGCGAGAACACAAATTGAGCTATTAATATGAACCAGATTGAAACTACCTCTTTAATACTGAAATTAATCACTTCAGAAATCGTTAATTCATGAACTGTTTTTTAGTTGATAATGAATCATGAAGTGTTCGCTCTGAAACCACATCCCGACCGTTGCTGCTAACTTGACGTGGTGGTCGGGCTTGCCTACCCTGATGAACTAGTCTGGATATACTGGCTGGAACAATCGTTCCTCAAGGTCCTACCACGCCAGGTAAATCGGCTGAAGAACGGTAAGACCAAAAGCAACAAACGCAAGGCCCAAGGGAGAAGTCGTACTGTTGACTGTACAGAGGTGTGACGACAGAAAGGTGTTTCATTCAGACAATCTACTTAACAGCTATGCTGCCTTCCTACAAAGGAAGAGTGGGGTTAGAAAAGTTTACCCTAGAAATGCACACCTCACCTTATCCCATGGATTATATATTTATTTATTTGAACACAAATATTGGTACAAGGAGGCACCAAATACATATGCGCCACACAAATCTCATTTGATATGTGTAAGGGCTTTGATACTATCCGGGTGCCAAAACCGAAGCAGGCGGTTTTCTTAGGGGGCCATGGCAGCCGGTGACCAACGATTGGTTCATACGCCATTTGTTCCTTCAGGATACTGGAGCCCATGTACACCATTGGTTTGGAATCAGGGTTTTCCAACTCCCATAGTTGAACTCTTCATGTCCACCAACCCGGTTAAAGAGCCGGATATTCACTTTTCGTCCTCTCAATTTCGTGAAAAACATCCTCGCCACGAGAAGGTAATGAGTAGGTTTTCCCTGGCAGTGGTTGTAGGCACTTGGCCATTTGAGAGCATTTGGAGAGGGAGAGCGGACTTTCCCCACTCTCGGCCGTACCAGGGCATATTCCACAAATATCCGTCTCTGGCGGTAAGGTCTCAACATGTGCGGAGCTAACATAAAAGTTACCCACAAAAAGATCGCGTGTGACCGGCCTCAAGCAGTTGTCACTTGAGAACTGCGGCCACGCTCTCAGGTCACTAAGGTCAACTCTAACCCAATTTCCTTTTCATGTACTTCTAAAAGAACCCTTTCACGTTGTGGGCAATCGGGAATCGATTACCGCCCTCATACCCTTAACAGCACTCAAGACCACAATTTCTGAAACCACATAGAGTGTACTCTGTTACCTAAGTTAAGATCGCTAGTTGTGGGTTTATATATTTTTAATCAGTTTATACCTAGTATTCTATGTTTTATTTTGTGTTTTATGTATTGAGCAGCTTAGTTTACCTACTGAAATTCTAACACAATACACTTATATTTTTCACCAGTCAAATTCTCAGTGTCTTCATTGTAGTCAGTAAATTATTTAAAACTTTTGTACCATAAAAATGTGTCAGATATGTTATCGTATTTAGCTTCAATTGTCGATCAAGGGACTTGAAAATATAAGTAAAATGTTTTGATAACTGAGGTTGTAAAGTAACACTTCCTTTAACCATAAGTTCAATGATTCAATTGTTACTCAATAGAAAACTGGGTCTATGATTACACATTTAATAGGCAAGTTTCAGTACACTTCATTGTTTACTTGTGTAATAAAATTGAAAAGTATTCTTTTATTGGAGTACTGCTTCTGCACTAAAGTAATTACAAGTGGTCTAAAAATGATAAAGATTACTATTCAGTTTAGTAGGATTTTACTTCGTATTATAGCATTACAAACTAGATTTCTGTCCATATAATACTTGTTTCCCGTTCTGTCTCCAGTTCATGTTGTAATTCTAAAAATATTTTGCATATAATTTCTTATACTAAAAAAGAGACTTTCAGAAGCCTGTTCTTCAACTACGAAAAGATAATCATTATACGGATTTTTGTTGACCTTAGGATGCATACAACTATGTGCATAATGTATCACGAAAGTATTTGTTATTTCTGCGGACTAAAAAATTATCTTCTGAATTGTTGTGTTGTTTTATAAAGAAGATTTGCGTTTATGCGATTGTCGCCCCGCTAATTTGCATGCTATTCTACAGCATTAAACCTAATTTTGTTTGTGTTTATTCCCCGACCGTTGTTGCTACCTTGACGTGGTGGTCGGGCTTGCCTATCGTGATGAAGCAACCGAGCTATACTGGCTGGAACAACCGTTCCTCAAGGTCCTACCATGTCAGACAGGTCGGTTGAAGAGCGGTAACACTAAAAGCAACAAACTGAAGGTCCGAAGGCGAAGTCATACTGCTGACTGTACAGAGGTGTGACGGCAGTAAAGTGTTTCCTTCAGACAACCAGCATGACAGCGGTGCTGCCTTCCGACAAGGAGGGGTGGGGTTAGAAAAGGTCGACCCTAAAAATGCACACCTCGCCTTGTCCCACGGATATCCGTCTCCGGCGATAAGGTCTCGACAAGTACGGAGCTAACACAAAAATTACCCATTGTGTTTATTCAAAACTACCACAAGGCTCATCTTATCTGATTTAAAATGAGTTTCCTTCATTAAAAACTAATAATTACATCCAAACTACTGTAACTGACCACCTTGCACTTACTTTCCATACTTGTGTGATTGACCAGTTTTGACAATCATACATACATCAATAAACAAATCTAATTTCCAACTTGCTATGTTGTGATTGGATAAATTGTACTTTGGTCACATTTGTCTCTGCCTCCACCACCTATCAACTTAATGATATGAATGCTACATAGTTTTGTCCATTAACTTCTAAATATTATAATGAAAGTAATATTTTTCACTATTGTTCTTTTCTTTCCACAAAATTTCAGTGTGATGATGAGATTCAGAATAGAATTCATAGCTTTTTTAAAAATCATCTTATTGCACCGAGCCCTGACACAGTTGTATTTGACTCACCAACCAAATGTAAGTTCTATATAAAAATACTTACTGTTATCTAAAATTATGAAATTCATTATTTATTACCGTGATAAATATGATTGCCGACATCTAAAACTCACTTTTATACATAGGTAAATTTTGCTTGAATAAATTTCGTTGAAAAGCAATGAAATATAAATTATATGGGTTTTTAGACTATTTTCAGGAAGTTAAACGCTCAGATATTATTTTAGTAGGTAGGTTAGTAGATATGTTGACTAAAGCTAAAAGACATTTAGGTGGAACTTTCAGCTTCTCAACTCGGTGAACAAGCTGTAAAAACAGCCAGACTATTGGAACGATGTGTAGAATAATTAAAGTGATAGTTCAACTGATCTATAGCTACTTCAAAATTACCGCTTTCTTACCAACAGCCTAAATAAAGTATCAACATAAACCCTTTCTTCGACTCAATCAGGTTAAAAAAAGTCATAATTACCTTGAGACTAAGGAAGACCAGTTACTCGTGTTGAATTCGCTCTTGAGGTCGTTGATTATGGCAGTCTAGTTTAAACAGTTAGATTATCTGATCTATTATTCAATCTAGCACCTAAAGATTATCCCGTCAAACTGATCTTCCCAGTTTAAAAAGAAAGAATAGAAGTTGTTTTTTTATAACCGCAAATGAATCAGCCTGACTAATATCATCTAAAAGTGCGACAGACAGCCATTACACGTCAGTTACCCAACCAGTAATTTAAAAAAAATATAATAGTCCCCACAATCTTGAGGATTAATTTACACAATAGTAGGTTTAATCACCAAAATCCCTATCTGTCGTTTAGTATTTCTAGCTTCACTAAAGAGTTTCGGGTTCACTAATAAAGTGCATTACTCGTAGGGGAATTAAGTCATTCAGTTTGTGATATACACAGTTTTAGATATGGAAAGTAAGGATTCTATATTTTAGTAAAGTATTCTGTCATGATAATACGCCTGATGTTTAACTTCTGAAATGAATACCAGTCATTGATAAAAAAAATAGTTACATACCATACCAAGGTGTGTCAAATTCTGATTTAATTATGTAGTATGTATTTTCTTCTATATGATCTGTGTTTATCTCCATTCTATTTTATCTTAACTTTGAAAACCGTTTTAAGATTTCGCTTAACCATTAATTTTTATTTACTCATTTTTTTCTTGTTAAATGGTTTCTAGTCCACTCCAGTTGTCTCCCAAGGACTTCATCTCTTCTACCTACAGGTAAATAGAAATAAATATAATTTCTACTATTGTTCTACTTTACCTATTGTCGCACAATACATATATGTATAGCATATTATTAAACCTTTATATCTTCATACGTGAAACACTTAATACTCTTTACTAGAAATCAAATGTTGCTCAGTGCGCATGTGTGTGTGTGATCATATGTGAATGATAACGTTTACCCGAAAAGTTTCTTTTCATTGATGATGATTTCATAATCTTACAGGCATTGATAGCTTTTAATGTGATTTATTCAATACATTAGGAAGATATTAATTATACTCAATTCTGTAATGAGTTAAACAATCAAAATGTTTATGACTGGTGCTTATGAATTAAACTTATTCATAGTAATATCGTATAGATTATCGAGTTTCAAATGTAGGTACGTTCACTCTTTGTCTAGCTCATGAATCCTGAACTTTTAACACCTTTAGTTTTTTTTACACTTGATCTTTCCTACTACTATTAATTATGTTACCACTTCTACTCTGGGATTTATCTTGATATTTTTATCTCACGGTGCTAATGTTGTGGGACAAATTGAGCTGACGCATATATTTGTTAGTTTCTATGTTGGATGTAACTAACTAACTGAGTTCTATGATGTAATAGAAAGAAATAATCACTACAATGCATTCGGTCGTTTTGATAAAGTTGGATTTAGCAGTGATAAGTCTTCTAACTGAATGCTTAAGTAGGTTTCCTAAGCTCTTCTAATAACCTCAGGCTAACTCTGCACGACAACTTGAACACGAAAGAAAAGGCGCGAAACATGAAAAGAACACTTTACTCCAAGCTCAGTTTATGTACAGAAAATCGAAGGTATTTATAGCATTTCAGATGACCTCGGACTTCTGGAAAGTTCTGAAACCCTACTAAACACAGTAGCAGGATAGGTAATCAATCAGCTGTCAAAACAGCTTAAAATTACCTACAGAATTATCATTATAACCAAAGATTTAGCATACTACAGTTAATGAAGTTAATATCGATGGTTTTGAACTCGAGAGTTTTACTATTCATCCGATCGGTCATTGATGACTACACTTTACTGCTTTTCAGATGTAGATTTTTATGATCATGTTCAGAAAATCTAATACAAACTCTTCTCTCAGCTCTTCCTATATACTTATCATTCCAAGCATATATATATATATATATATATATATATATATATATATATATATATATATATATATAAATTCATTACCACTGAAGAGTCCTATGCTAGGATGGAACAGTTGTCCGATGCTTCCTGATTTACAATGAATGTCTAACCACGATCAATCCGAGATTTCATCCATAAATAGATTCTCATTCTGTTGATTAAATTAATCACTTAACTGATTCAATGTGTAACACAAGTGTAAAGAAAATTAAAAATATAATTTGAACACAGAACCTTTTTTATTCCAATAGAGTTCTCATCATTATAACTTAGTAATACTACATATTTAGAGGCGGCCAAACCAAAACATGGCATCAGTGTATGAAGTCAATAATTTCTAGTCTGAGCCATGTTGGGAGATCCAGACTACTTGGTTGGGGTTCGCGCGACTGTCGTAACCAATGGTTGGAGACTCTTGGTGACATGGCTCAGAATCGATCACAATGGCATAGGTGTATACACTCTCTGTCTTCCCTTAAACTAAGAGATTAAAATCGCTTCATACCTTTCTTTCTACGAACTAATTCTTTCTTCCTGTACTATGTTCTTATACGCAATCTTTCTTTTATATATTACCACCTCTGAATTAACTACTTCTATGAATCTGGTGTTCATCTTGTTGTGTTAATGAGGTATGGGAACTTGGACCAATGTATATATGTGCCTGGTCCTCTTTTGTAGCTGACTGACTGACTGACATAGTTTGACATTTTAATGTAAAAATCATTAACATTTAAGTGGTGTTAAGTAGATTAACATTATCATAATAAGACATCATGTTAAGACAGAAAGGGTAATCAGTTAATTATTACTGTTGATTATATAAAAATGAAGATCCAGAATAAAACGTAAATGTATGTTTACATTTAAGAATCAGTTAGTTATTTTTTAATGATTACGTAAGAAAAAAAACATTAAATTTCAAGTATAGAAATATTTGATCATATCAGAGTAACAATAAGTAAACAATTTAAGCGTAAGTTTGAGTTCATTAATTTGTTAGAAATAATTACTTGTTAATAAAAACGAAATAGGAAAGTTTGTAATTAATTCATTATTTGCAAAGACACAACAGATGATTATACAAATCTATTTTTGGAAGCAAAAGTCATATCTAACCGATTCAATTCTCATAGTTTTCATTATGTGTAGGAGGTGATATCTGAATACATAAGTGGAAGATATTCAATAGTTAACTTTGAATAGTACATTTACATCAACTTGATACCTCGTATCGACTCAGTGTGTAGGAAATTTTGTTTGCCCCCACATGCCCTGGTACGGCCGAGAGTAGTGAGAGTTCGCTCCCCCTCTCCAAATGCTCTCACATGGCCAAGTGCCTACAACCACTGCCAGGGAAGTCCTACTCATTGCCTTTTCGTGGTGGGGATGTTGTTCACGAAATTGAGAGGACAAAAAGTGAATATCCGGCGCTTTAACCAGGTTGGTGGACATGAAGAGTTCAACTATGGGAGTCGGAAAACCCTGATTCCAAACCAATGGTGTACATGGGCTCCAGTATCCTGAAGGAACAAATGGCGTATGAACCAATCGTTGGTCACCGGCTGCCATGGGACTGCGTCTCCTTACGTTGCTCCACTGCTTTGTGTATCAGACCTTTAGGTTGACGGCTCCGGGCGTGGCCCCCTAAGAAAATCACCTGCTTAGGTTTTGACACCCGGACAGTAGACAGTATCAAAGCCCTTACACATATCAAATGAGATTTGTGTGGCGCATATGTATTTGGTGCCTCCTTGTACCAATATTTATGTGTTAAAATAATAATAATAAATAAATAAATTTTGTTTAACTTAGGTTTCGTGCTGGTTGGTACACTTTAGTAAGGTGTACCTGCGATCTTAAGGGAATTGATGCTCTTTGTTTTATTCAAATCTGCGTCACTTAGCATCGCAGTTTGAAATGTTGTGTTCGTTTAAGACTACGGGTATGCTTTTCCGACAAGTTCCAAATAGTAAAAAACGTAGATTCAGGGTTTTCTGTCGGCTACCATCAACCACCTAAAATCTCATCATAGTGTACACGATGTGGTATCACACAGACTAGGAACTACGTTGTAACTTGATTGATATAATCCAATCAACTGTAAAAAGGTAGGTAATTGAAATTGGTTATTACTCAGTGATCAATCATTTATAAATATAAATTTTGAGCAAAACAATGTCTATTCTAATAAAACTCGCGACAAATTGTTTACATAGGATTTCTTCGCTAGCACTGATTGGATGGAAATGAACCGACCAACATATTTTGATTTAAGCCTAATCAAAATATGTAATAGTCAAGACTCTATTCTACTAACAATGACCAGTTGGTTTATACTGCTATGTATTACCTTTAACGATTGTATATTATGATATTATCAACTTTGTGCTTTTCTCGTTTATTTAGCTACTCCTTTAGGTAAAAAGAAAAAGAATTCCTATATTCTAGGAAATACTTCAAGTTGTATGTGCGAAGGTAAGTGGAAAGAGAGGTGTTGTATTGTTGTGTCTTTTTTACATTTTCTTTACGGTCTAATAACATATTAGTTGTGTATTTTCGGATAACAAGAAACAGCAGAAGGCGTGTGTAGGCTGCAGGTTTTTCGAAGCTATCGCTCGTGTATTGGGGAACGACCAAATGAGTTATGCTGCGGTTTTATTCATAATGTACTAGTCAAAGGTGGTAAATCAGTTGACAAAGTAGTGAATCTTCATCAATTGAATCAGTTGGGACATATGTTACGTATATCTAACCACCGCCTACCTCGATGGACGATGTTTGTTGGTGTAAAATGTTTAAAAAAAGCTATAGTCGGTCAAATAAACATGTGGGATCAGTCCATGAAGTGATCGCCTATTGGTCTGAGCTTTTTTAAAATACAGACTACCTCATTGGGGTTCAGAATATCAGTAGTTAAAGACTTTGGGCAAAATGGCTCAGAGTCGTTCGTAATGGCGCTGAGAAGAAAACCAACATTGCCAGATTCATCTGCAGCGTAATTAGACTATCGAAACTGTTGTAAGTTTTACTCTTATTCAGTGTAGAAGAAAGTAGTGTACATAACCAAGTTCATTTATAAGTCATTAGTGTACAGCGTTGATTATTAAACATAAATATATTTTATCAGTCTTAGTCTAAGTAGTTGGACAGTACTGTTTAGCCATACACAGTGAATGTGACGCTAAAATACATTACGATGCACACAGATTCTCTGAAATAATCCTTTTTTGATTGTAGAAATTAAAAGACACAAGTTGATATCAAATAAACGAAATGTGGCTAGCAGTGGGATCCAGGACGCGTGTTTCGTCCTATTTTGGACTCGTCAACTGAATGTATCTGCATCTCGACAACGAGATAATCCAAACCATTTCAAATTCATGTTTTCATCCAATGTTTCTCTATTTGTCATAAACTTCCTTTAATTAAAAAAAATTGACTAAACTGATTTGTTCACCAGGTACTAGGTATGAACCATACTAAATATGAAGGCTATTGATACTATTCGGTTGCTTAAACAGAAATAGGCGAATCAGTATTCGAACCCAGAACTTAGTGGCCAAAAGTCGCATTCCTTGATCACTAACCCATCACTTCATTAGATAAATCTAATCCTTTGATTTATCAAATAAATTGTAATATTAATGTAAGATCTCGTACAATGTCGAATCGGTTCTAAGTGTTAAATCAATAAAATACTTTTTGATTAATATATCTAATTTCTATGATTGCTACTTGACAAGTGGTGTTACGTAATTTTAGCATCTTATATCTCGAATTATGTAGTAGTATGTTTTAATTACTTCACATTGATTCTGTTCTCTCACATATATTTCTTTTTTGATTTAGTTGCAGTACAAACATCAATCTCTATGCCTCCATCATTTGATTTTGAGTCAGTTATGCAAATTGCTTTTGAACAGAATCATTCAATGAAAAATCTATCCGTTGCGAAATCTTCAGTTATGTTGTCAATAACATCAAATGAAATGATCATCAATGATGATAAATCAAATTCACAACAAAAATCAGATCCATTCACAAATAGTATATCATTATCAGCTTGTGCAGTTGATCGTCCTATTCCTTGCAATTCAAATAGTAACTCTTTGTCAATACTTCATAAAAATTCTCGTCATTTACTTAGTCGACGTAGTCTCTTCTCTGATTCATCCGAAATAAATGAAGAACCTAGGTATATCTATGTAGTTTTCTCATGTCTTTTCTTTTTAAAATACACCTTTATAATGACCTGTCAATGCACACAAAATCCAGTGTAATTAAATGTTTTAACGTTCTATATCAGTTATCAGAATATCGAATATAGTTTTGTGTTACAGACTGATTTGTGAAATGAAGGCGAAGATGAATGCCTTTTGTGGTATTTTGTTCTAAAATGATGGCCTGGATCGTTAGATTGCGACATAAGTCCAATCTATCAACCCATACGAAAGATATCAATCAATCACATGGTTAAATTAAACTAATTTTAATCATATCTAGCATTCTCTGATCATAATACTTGACTCGACTGTTTCGAAATTAGGACAAGAATCAAGATGGAACAATATATATTTCCCAGTTACACACATACTAAAAATCCTTTAACAAACAATGGATTTTATATGGCATTGCTGTAAGAATCTTCTAGCATTTTGTTGATGCATTCACTTGTTCTGGTAGGTTGGAAGTGAACTAATCAGGATATCTAGGTTTGAGCCTAATCAACATATGGAATTGTCAAAACTCTATCCTACTAACAAGAGTATTTAAATTTAGTTCTGAGGTGAAAATCGATCTTTATCTGTTGTGTTTTTATGCTGATCTCTTGCTTCAAGTCATATAATTCAAATCAGTTGGTGGGTTTTCCAGAATATAAAGATTGTTATATACTTTGTGCAGGTGAATCTGTCAATTATACACAACGTCATATTTTATCGAAAGACAACATGAGCAATGTCAGTTTTTTATTGGAATTGTACATTGACCATTATAAATCACTAATTTGAACAAATTGTTAGGAGAAATTCAAACAAATTACCTGTTGTGACATGTGTCTATGAGTTGATACTGATACATAGTCTCCTTATCTACGAAGCCCAACTGGCTTTGTAGTGAAAAGATTGAGAGAGATGTTTATTTACTTGTAAGCCATTCACGATATGCGTCTCATTCCGTAGAAATGAGAACTACTTCTTGGTTATTCACGGACATTTATCGTTTGACCTATTTGTGATTTCTCTAGCGTATCACTTTTCTCTCTTGAAAACACGTCTAGTTCCTCGGATTCATCTAAAGGCCTTGGGATTGGATCACATCACCAATATTCTGATATTATAGACCTAAACTGTAAATCTTTTAAGTTCTTATATTATCCTAACACCTCCTTATACTACTACTAATACTTCTGGATTGATTAATTATTTATTCATAGTCAATAGGATATTTCGTAATAGTATTCTTTAAATGGTGGAGAAGATTTGTAGCTCAAGTGGATGATTTTGATGGAGTTTTGCTCTCTGAGCTGGATGGTTTGGTCGTGGAGCTTTCATCGTTCTTCTGAACGACATCATCAGTTTATACTGATGATCATCACTTTACACTTTAACTAGTTTCCTTAAGGCTTAAATATACGAATATTCAAAATAGGTTTTTTATGATATATTTCTAACCAACTTTCTAACTTACGATTTAAAATTGTAGTTACACGGTCGTAGATGACAATGAATTGAATGAACAACAACGTACATTAACTTCATCTGACGATTTAAGTCGTCATAATCATCATGATAATTTAAAATTTTCATCTGTTGTTGCACAACCAGCATGTTCAAGCTATCTGTCATCAACAAAAATGGATTACGGATCTTCACATACAAAATTCAGTATTGATAAATTTTCTCCTAAAAATGAATCAAGTTCTTTATTGATTAAAGAAACTGCTGCGTTACAAATGTGTTTGCCTGCAAGTTGGGCTGATACTGTTGGCAATAGTGATAGTTCCGATGATGATAATTATTATAATGATGATAGTAATAATGATATTAAGAATAATGATGACCATTTAACAGATCAAGGTATGTTAGATCTAATTGTCTTTTTATCCTTCCTTTTTGTTTAGACGCATATTTTCTTAGTACTATTGATTGCTTTTTGTTCATTTGAAAAAAGTGACGATTTCGTTTAATTATCCTCCACATAGAATAGTGCCTTAATGGTCAGGGCGCTCGGCTTTTGATGGTTCGAACCCGGTTCCGATTATTTCAGTCTAAACCATCGAATAGTATCATTAGACCTCACACTTAGAATGTGACTCAACGCTAATTACCCGAATGTGATGTATCTGTCTAATAAATTAAACATTTAGCCCATTCTCCTAATTCATATTCCATCATTTTAATTGTATTGTTACTATTATCAATCTGATTGATAACTGCTTGACCGTATTCGTATTAAACTTATATATTTTTAATCATTAATCGATAATGGTGCACTGTTGATTTATATTATGGTGATGATTGGAAGAAAGTTAGGGGCAACCAAACCAAAACGTGACAACTTCTGGTCTGAGCCATATTGGTAAATGAAGACTACTTGGTTGGAGTCCGCATGACTATCGTAACCAATGGTTGGAGACTCCGGGCGACGTTGCTCAGAATCGATCAAACTGACATAGGTTTATACACTCGTTGTCTTCCCTTAAACCGTGAGATTAAATTCGCTTCATATCTTTCTTTCTACAAATTAATTCTTTCTTCCTATACTATATCCTTACATAAAATCTTTTTATATATATTACACCATTGAGTTAACTGCTTCTATGAATCCGGTGTTCATCTTGTTATGCTAATGAAGTGTAGCAACTTGGACTGATGCATATGTTTCTGGTCCTACATTGTAGATGACTGACAAGAGATTTTGAACTATATTTTCATAGATTTTGTAACAGCAAACCGATAGGTCTGTGAGTTTTTCAAGGTTATTCAAATGTGCTCATTATATTGTCCTGTTGGAATGTCTAGAAATATCTCTCGTCAAAATCTTCAGAAGCTTACAAAACCCCTGGAAACGATTTATCCAATCAACACTGAAGAAAAATTTCTCAGAAACATTTGGAAAAATAAAGGATTGTGTGATGTTTGTTTGGATAATTACCTATATTGTTAATATATTTAGTATTTTTTGGAAGTTTCTAGAAAACTAAGGTTATATGGGGCGATAAATAGAGATCATGACCCTGATTAAGTTCCAAACAATTGTGTAACTCAGCTAACTGAAACTTTCATAGATGAGTCGGCGGTGCCGGTCCTAATTTGACTTTTACACTCAGGAAGTAGTGAAATATGTTCCTAAACATAATCGAGTTTACCGATAATAGTTCTGATTGCTAGTGTACAGGATATTTGTGAAAGTTGGTGAACTTTTTGGTCAAAATCACAAACTTAACATCAATCAGGCAACCATTAAAAATCAGGAAGTACTGGATACCTGTTTGTTTTAATATGGGATTCCTCAGTGGGAATGCACATCCACGATCATACTCTGTATCAAACTTAGGCCAGTCTGTGGCATGAACTACAAAATCCAATGAGCTCCACATATCTCTTATAGTAATAATAATTATATGCACTCTAGTGACTACTTGCAGGAGAATAATTCCGAGGGTCCTAGTGAGAGGTTGAGATCAGTGAAGTTCAACCGTCATATGTGAGGCAATTACCCACGGATGACATTAAAGTTGATTGTATAATATGGCGAATTGATTAAATTTATTTATACAATCCATTGAACCTCGATTCAATCTGAAGGTTAAACCTATAGGTTCAACAATCTTCAGTGGGTTCGTGAATAAGAGCTGCTGATTTCACTACATGGCTAACTAGGATCAGTCCGTGATGTAAACTGTAAAATTCTGATATTTATCTCTTATTTCTTCACAATGCTCTAAAGTTGTTTTACATTGGCATATTCTTTTGTATCTAAACTTCTTTGTTTATAAAAACAGTTATTGTTGAAAGTAACTCTCTATTATTTACAAGGGGAATATTAACAATCTACGGCTTAACTAAATGTTATTGAAGTAGAATAAAAGAGGTCTTATTACATAAGCTAACTAAATAAATGTCTTTCAAAATAACATTTATAGATCTTTAAACATCTTTGTATACGATTTGTTGTATTTTTCTACGATATTTACTCCATAAAAATGGAGATTTTTAGCTCAGGTGGATGATTTTGATGGAGTTTCGTTCTCTGAGCTGGATGGTTTAGTCGTGGAGCTTTCATTGTTATTCTCAACGACATCGTCAGCACAAACTTCAGGTAGAAGTGAAGTGTTCGAACTTCTCCACATATGGCTCACAGCTTGTCCTGTAGACCTCGATGTTGATTGGCCACTGTTGACCTTTAACCTGTCATTGTTTACGTTATTTTGGTTGTATCTCTTATAGGACCAAAAATCAAATCAATAGATATAACCAAAATAAAGGGGTAAACAATGACAGGTTAAAGGTCAACAATGGCGAATCAACATCGAGATCTACAGGACAAGCTGTGAGCCATATGTGGAGAAGTTCGAACACTTCACTTCTACCTGACGTTTGTGCTTATGATGTCGTTCAGAATAACGATGAAATCTCCACGACTGAACCATCCAGCTCAGAGAACAAAACTACATAGAAATCCCAATATTCTGTATGTACGCTTGTACAACGTAACTAGCTTCTCATAAATTAATTCTTTATGTGATAAAAGTCTATGCGAAGATAATTCTTTAATAATAATAAATCATTTCATTTCAGATAATTCAGTCAGTATGCATACGTTGAATCGAACTACAGTTGAACAGATTTCTAAAAATATTGATAATAATGATAATGTTATATATTTCGATGATACTAATACAAATGTTGGTCATTACAAACATATTGATTATTGTTCATCTCAAATGAATTCACCACAATATCAACAACAATATCGTTGTGGTAGTACTAGTCCAAATGTTTGTTACACTGATATATCATTTCAAAGTCCTGATTTATCACCAATCTTACCTATACATCGTAAGAATAGTTGTACAAATTGTCCACCATTTACTGATGAAGTTAAAGATATTTCTCTTGTTCAAACTAACATGCATATGAATGAGATTAGTAGTAATCATGGAATTATGCCAGCGAAATGTTTATTCCCGCCTAATTTGAATGGATCAACTTGACAACAGTAATAATATTACTGTTGCAATAAAATATGTAGTAGTCGTAATGATAATTTTGTCACGTGAAAAATGTGGTTACACGATTACTCTCTCTCTCTCTCTGTTCCCCCGCCTCCTACCGACTTACAATGAATCGTTTTAATTGTACTAACATTGTGTTTTTTTTCTCCCAGCTCTGTGACCGGATGATTACTTTTTATCTCACGTAATACCTTTTTTCTTGATTAATGTATAACTGAATGCGTTATTAACAATCAATATTCTTGTCCAAAGTTATTTTTCTTTAAAGACAAGGCTTTACTACTATTTGTAAGTGACTTCTTTTTTTCGTAAAAATAAAACATCATTCTGTGGTATTTGTAATACTTAACTAGTATTGTTTACTAGTAATTTGTCCATCTTATTTTCTCATTTTAAGCCAAGAATATTAATGTTATTAGAATTATACGTTAGTGTATTCTGTTTTCTGCATAATCAGTTAGTAACAACGTAGAATTTCGTACTTACATACATCAGTTCTAGTAGCCATACAACATTAGAACAGAAATGCAGTTGTCGATCCAAATCCCGTAGTGGTAGAGTTAGTAAGAGTATAAGCAGTAATCGAGAACATTAGGGTTTGAAAATGTTATTCAAGGAGTATAATCCAGTGAAATAAATTTAGAAAGAGAAAAAAAGGGACGTGAAGAATTCAGAAGATTAGGATTTGGGAGAACACAAAGAGTGGATGCACCTGCGCCATTGCAAACGATTTTGAGCCATGTCATTCAGGGTCTCTAACCATCGGTTGCTATCGTCTCGCGGATCCCAACCAGGTAGTCTATACCTACCGCTTGTCAGTGAATTCATGAATTTGTTCCATGTTTTGGTTTGGCCGCCCTTAGCTTTTTCCCATCCTACTCCTACATCATAAAACATTGCACGTCGGGCTAGTCGATGGTTGGGCATACGTAACACGTGTCCCAACCATCTCAACTGATCAAGTTTCACTACTTCATCAATTGATTTGCCATCCTTACCTATTACCCGTTTCCTAACAACTGTGTTACTTACTCGATGGTCCCAGGATATACGAGCAATGCTTTGAAGACACCTATGGTCAAATACTAGTAATATACGAATATCCTCTACTCTTACCGGCCATGTTTCACTGCCATAAAGTAGGATTGAACTAACTGCCGCACAGTAAATATGTCCTTTGGTTGATAGACGGATATCTCGCCTACGCCATAAATGACGCAAGTTGGCAAAAGCTAGTCGAGCCCCCTGTATCCGTGCTGAGATCTCGTCACACATAAAAGACTTAATAAGTCAATCTAAAGCTATGTACAATATGCATTGGTTCAAGTTGTTTCAGCGTATCAATATAGCGAAATGAAGACAAATGTCAGAGTAGTAGAAGTAGTAACATTATCAGTTATAGTACAAAAGTTTAGGCGAAGGAAAATGTTATTCGAGAAGAAGAAATAATTTCGCACAATGAAATGTAAAAGATGATTTTTAAGTTTACAATCTAAAGAGGGACAAAAAACTGAATACATCTGCACGATTGAACGAGATTTGACATCAGGTCACCCAGTGTTTACGATAGCAACGTGAACTCGAAGCAAGAAGTCAGGACTTTGTCAACATGGTTCATTCTAATAGTTAATGATTTCATGATTTGATGCTAACTTGAATAATTCGACCCCAACTTTCTGTTACAACTAAGCTTTGCAGTGGTGATGATAATCTTTTATCATAAAAATGTGAATTTGTGTGACTCTGTTCAACTTACGGATTTCTCATGTTTATATCCAGTTATAATTAACGTCGTCAGACACATATGTGTGCATTAGTCCAGATTCCCATACCACAAAGTTATAGGATGTTGGATGATAAAGTGATCAAATTAATTATCGCAGCAATGATAGTAAGAAAGACTAGCCATACTGAAGACATTAGAAAGTTATGCGTGAAAGAATACTAATACCTTATATCCATGAGAACTTCAAATTAACCTTTGTCATCCAACATACCAGCAAGACTCATTTTAACAATAAAATCAATTTGTTTCGCCCTTCTTATTTAGACAACAGCCAGGTACAATTCTTGGTGATTAGAGGAAATTTAAACCATGATTTGTAGTAGTGTGTTATAGCTCAACTTCTGAATTGATTACTAGATAGCTAGGTTTGTATGATGTTTACTAATAATTGTGGAATAGAGCTTGGGCTATATTTGGAGATGCCTGGTTTCCTAAGACACCACAGAAGTCAGACAAAAGCTAAATCATAGATCATCTAGTAAAGTCTGGTTATTCCTCTTCACCAGAAGCTTCCTTCCGAATCCTATATAGTGGGAAAAGCCGGTTCAAGAGGAATCCATATGAAAAACGTATGTACGGCAGCGGCTATTGCTTTCCGCTACTTCAAGCCTAACTGTTGCGTACAATAACTAGTATGTTCAGTTCTTCATTCTTCTTTTCTACTTTTCATAATTTATCTTTCTTTACTTTCTAATCACTCTTCTCAAGAATTAGTCATTATTACGATTTTTAATTACTCTCTTATAATTGTCGAGTGGGCAATTATCACTAGCGCTTTTCACTAACCGGTTATTACCTAACTTCTCAATATCTGATTTTCGCAAATAATTTATGTGACACTATACCAGTTCAAATTTTCTCATTATTCAACATCATTCTGTTTTACTGTAGGCTATAATTTGAGTAGATAAAAAAATTATGAATACAATTGTACAGCCTAAGTGAATCAAATCATCGCAAGGACAATTTTCTTTGCTAATCTGTCATTGATCCTAATTCTAGAATTTGATGGAAATATATTATACTACTTATGAGTAGTTAAAGTTCATAATAATTCATTTCAATATTGCTAATAACTTTGTGACCATTTCACAACAAAAAATATACATTTGTATTTAATGCTCAGTTCACATGTCATCTAAATATTTTCCAAAAGATTATATCCAGGAAATATATGGATCGAATTATGCTTATTCATAAATGTATTACCCTGAATGATTTATTTCATCTACTATACAGATTAAAACATATGAATACATGAGATAATTAGAAAAGATGGACGGTAAAATAAGGTTTATCATCACAATTGATTGATCACGGGGTAGCGATCAATGTCGTGCGCGTCTAGTCCTTATTAGTGCAGACCGAATGCTATCGATCATGTTGCAATGTGGTCACCAGTCTAGGTGACTCGACACTGTATGCACTATTGTGAGATTAGATGGTGGTTGGAAGTAGTCGACAGGAAACCCTAGACCCGGGTTTCGTGCTACTTGGCACTCGTCAGCAAGGTGTATCTGTAATCTTGAAGGAACTGGTGCTTCCTGGCGGATTCGATCTCGTGTCACCCAGCTTCACAGTCAGAGACGTTACCACTGAACTATCCGAGCCGTGACTAACCTCCTGTAGGACTGAGATGTAATCATCGCCTGTTTGTGTATTATAAACGTTTATGGTTAAATATTCTCCGTATACAGAAAAGCAATACCTCTGGGTCTAGTTCATTAGAACCATATGTTAATTGTAACAGAGTAATAAAAAATATTATTTATACAGTCATAAATTTTAAACAAAATAATCAAATCTATTTGGTGAATAAGTGATCGTACATACATATGGTTATGGAAAACAAGTTTCTGATGTCACAAATCAATATTACAATTGTAAAGGTAGAAAACTCTTTAGTTTATGTAGCAAATGAATAATGAGTAGTATTATATTAGAATTAGACTATTTAATAAATGAGAATACAGATCATCTAATGTGTGTCCACTATCATTTACAGATAAATAAAACTTTATACTGATAATGATTATGTGCTCACTAGTGACTACCTTTGTTATAAATCTCTCTTATTACAACCTAGCTATTCCTATTGCTTAGTATTCTTGGGCACCAATTCACTCGACAAAGTCCCCAAATCAGAACACGGTTGAACAGGAAATGGATTATATTCCAAATAACAAAGTTAGATGGAAGTAAGAAGTACAATAGGAAAAACGTTAGTATATTTATAGTTTTTACGTCAGACGATTCTAGAATGTCCTCCAAGTATCGACTAGCGCTAATTGGATATGCATTAGCCAATCAACGTGTACCAACGCAATCGTGCATTGAGTATGCTTTCATACGATTTATGTCCCGATAACAACTTTCAAGATGGAATTCCTGATGTTCTAACGAGAAGAGCTGATCATTTAGACTTAACAGTGTTATCTGGGAGATCGTTTTACGCCACATGTAATGAATAAGTGTTGCATAATACTGTGAATTGATTGAAGTTAGACATGTACACAACTGAATCCAGACTCGGTAGTCCAGAGATTAGACGTTTACGCATGAGATCAAAGTTGCTGAATTGGATCCTCAGTTCTGGGTCATAAATGAATATTGTTAAGTAGTCTCAAACTAGGATGAAACAGCTATCGAATGCTTTCAGATTTTCGATAGTTGCTCAACTTGTATCGATTCATGATCTCAACAATCTCCATACTAATACTGATTATTTATTTGCTCTTTGATAAAAGGATAAATTCTTTGAAAGCGCGAAATTGTCGACTGAAACCAATAAATGTTAAGCCACATATGTTCAACAACATAAATGGGTTTACATGTTTATGTATGTCTAAATGTACAGTAATTGATTTGACTGGGTGGGCTAATCTTCAATGTTCAAAACAAAATTCAACTATTGGAAAGAGGTAGTTTTTCTGTTTAAATCATTTAACATTAAATATCCATGCTCTTGAAGCATACAATTTGTGATTTTTTTTTTCGTGTTTTTCACATCTGTACTTCATCTTACATGCATCATACTTGATTTTCATATTTATATATCATAAAAAGGTTTTGATGGAGTTTTGTTCTCTGAGCTGGATGGTTTGGTCGTGGAGCTTTCATCGTTCTTCTGAACGACATCATAAGGACAAACTTCAGATAGAAGTGAAGTGTTCGAATTTCTCCATATGTGTTTCACAGCTTGTTCCGTGCACCTCGATGTTGATTGGTTCTTATTGACCTTAAATTTATCATTGTTTACCTCTTTATATATATATATTATAACAATAAAAAGGGGGATTTTCATATACTTTACTTTATACCTTCAACATCCACATTAGCAGATCACAACAACCAGTGTAATAGAAATAAGATTACGTAATCCCCGACTCCCATTTTTTGTATTTTGTATGTATATGTATATAAGAGAATAATTATGGCTTGCAGTAGAATCTAGAATACTCGTTTCGTCCTATTTCAACTACGTCACCTGAATATATATGCATCCCAGAATTGATGTTGATTTCGGGACACCGACCCAGTACTTTTCGTTTTGAACGTTGAATACGTTATCTATTCGGCTATTGAGTCCAGGTAACCATTCATCCGTGCAATAGGTGTAGGATTTATATCACTATTATAATAATCTTA